GTCTGGCATTGGGTTCTTTCCATAACACTGAGCTATGAAATACCACACATTTTAGCAAAATTTATTAAATCAGAATTAAGGGAAATTGGTGTGGTTTGGCGCGCCCGCTTCCCTCCCTCCTGCCCCCCCGCCCAACCTCAATGTGCCACCGCACACATCTTTTTTTAGAAAGTTACACAAGTTACTACAGGGAGGAGGTAGAGCAGATGGTGAAACAGAAAACTCCATTGATCATCCCTCCTGCAAGGACATCATTTTAACAGCTATCTACACATAAACAAAGCCTCTTCATAGGAACCAAAATCAGGTGAGCATGCGCAGTACCTGGTTTTAACTTCATATCATTGAAGAGGTAGAAAGAAAAGTCTTGAATTGGTGATGCCGCCCTTGCTCATCCCCACCCCTGTTATTAGTAACATGGTGCAGAGAGCATTTCTGTGTGTTGGGGAGGGAGAGCACAGCAGTTGTGAGGCACTGAACTCAGTGCTGCCCTATTACAGCACCAGGAAAAGCTGGACCAAATTCAGCTGATGCCCACCCAAAGAAGGAGCATTTAAACCAGCCCTATTCAGAGGGAATCGCTGTTCCCAGTGGTTAGAACCTTGAGTTCTCTCAAGCCTCACCACCATGAGCAAAGATGCTCTGAGGATCTAAATAAATATGAGAGGCAGTCGAGGGCACAAGAATTGCAACTCCCAGGAAAGTGCTAGTGCTGAACTAGGTCAAAAAACAGTTCACAGGGTGGGCATGTGACATACTTAGACACTAAGTGGGACAGCTAAGGGAGTACTGGTATCACTGCTAACCCCAGGCTGCACTGACTATGGCTCCAAAGGAGACCCCTTTCTTCACTTGAGGAGAAGAGAAGGAAGAGTGGGGAGGACTTTGTCTTACATCTTAGATAACAGCTCAGGCACAATAGTATAGTGTATTACTGTGAGTCTTGAGGCTCCCTTTCCAGGCCCTAGCTCCTGGACATCATTTCTAGATCTACACTGCGCCAGAAGGGAACCCACTGCCTTGAAGGTCCTTCCTTCAAGATCCAGTCCTGCCAGAATTTATCACCTGGTAACTGAAAAGCCTTGGGCCCTGAATAACAAGAAGTGATACCTAGGTACTACATCAGAGGCTTTGGATGAGACTCTCAGACTTGCTAGCTTCTAGTGAGACTCAACACATTCCCAGCTGTAGTGCCTATAGTGTGGGATACCTTCTGCTTGAGAAAAGCAGAGGGGAAGTAGAGGGGGCTTTTTCTTGTACCTTGGCCGCAGGGGTGTAGAGCACCAGCTTGGCCACAGGGTAGAGTATCAAGCAGGCTATTGGGGTCTCCAATTCCAGGACTTGTATCTTGGATGAGATTTTGGACGTTCCCTAGGCCAGAGAGGAGCCCACTGTCTTGAAGGATGAGTCCCAGGCCAGGCAGCATTCAGTAAAAGCTGAGTGAAGAGCACTTGGGCCTTAAGGAAACATCAGTAGTAGTTTGGAAGTACTCCCGATTGGCCTATGGTGGCAATGGCCACGGAGTGAAGCTCCTCTGACATCGGAATGGGAGCAAAGAATGAGAATGAGTGCCTTCTGTGGGCTGAGTGCCGCGTCAGCCACAGTACAACAATAGAACGTCAGGTAGCCTTCTAAGATTTTTGACTCTAGTCTCTGGCTCCCAGACAGCACCTCTGGACCGCGCTGGCGTCTGTGAAAACTCACTGCTCCAAAGAGAAAAACATATTCCTGGCTGGTTTTGACATTGTTGATGTAGAGCCCTAGGACCTTGCATGAACACAGACAATAACCAGGGAGATGTTACACCAGACTGGGTGAGACTCAGGGCTGTGCTGGCTTCAGGTCTGACAGTACAGTTATAATGGTGGGGGCAGCAGGGGTGCTTGTGTCACTCCACTGTCAGCTTTAAGTGGCTAAGAACAAAGGGAGAGATTCTGTTTGTTTGGGAGAATGTAAGGGAACAGAACAGTAGTCTCTGCCTGTTAATCTAGAGAATCTCCTGGAGTCTGTCTTGTTCAAGACAATCAAGGTGGTACCTCTATGAGTCTGCAAGAACCAGTGTTACTGGGTGTGGGATGCCCCCTAAAGCAGATACATCTTGGATCACAAAATTCAAATCATTTTGAATATCTGGAAAATCTTCCCAAGACAAATGCATTCAAAGAAGCTCAGACTGAGAAAACAATCATCAAACCCTAGTTCTTCAAGGCCCAGACACAAACAAGCATCTACCATTATCAAGACAATCAAGGAAAACATGTCCTCACCAATTGAACTAAATAAGGTATCAGGAACCAGTCCTGGAGAAACAGAGATGCCAAACCTTTCAAATAGAGAATTAAAAATAGCTGTTTTGAAGAAACCATTCAAGATAACAAAGAGGAATTCAGAATTTGATCAGACAAATTTAACAAATTGAAATAACTAAAAAGATTCAAGCAGAAATTCTGCAGCTGAAAAATGCACTTGGTGTACTGAAGAATGCATCAGAGCTTTTAATAGCAGAAGTGATCAAGCAGAAGAGAATTAGTGAGCTTGAAGACAGGCTTTTTGAAAATACATTGTGAGAGGAGACAAAAGAAAAAATAATTTAAAAAAATGAAGCACACCTACAGGACCTAAAAAAAAATAGCTTCAAAGGGCAAATCTAAGCAGTATTGACCCTAAAGAGAAGGTAGTGAGATAGGGGTAAAAAAGGTTATTCAAAGAAATAATTATAGAGAACTTCTCATACCTACAGAAAGATATCAATATCCAAGCACATGAATGTAATAGAACACCAAGCAGATTTAACCTAAATAAGATTACCTCCAGGCATTTAATAATCAAATTCCCAAACATCAGAGATCAAGAAAAGATCCTAAAAGCACCAAAAGAAAAGAAACAATTGAACTTCAATACATTTGGCAGCAGACTTCTCAGTGGAAACCTTACAGGCCAGGAGAGAGTTGCATGACATATTAAAGGTGATGGAGGAAAAAAGCTTTCATCCTAGAATAATATATCCGTGAAAATATCTTTCAAACATGAAGGAGAAATAAAGACCTTCCCAGATAAACAAAAGCTGAGGCATTTCATCAATACCAGACTTCTTCTGCAAAAAAATACTCTAAAGGGAGTACTTCAGTCAAAAAGAGAGGGATATTAATGAACCATAGGTTCTTACCTGAAAGTACAAAACTCATTGGTAATAGTAAGTACACAGAAAAAAACACAGAATATTATAACACTATAAGTTTGATGTGTAAATTACTCTTATCCCAAGCAGAAAGACTAAATGATGAACCAGTAACAACAAAAAGAACTACAACTTTTCCAGACACAGACAGTACAATAATGTATAAATAGAAACAAAAAAGTTAAAGAGCAGGGGGACAAATTTAAGGTGTAGAATTTTTATCAGTTTTTTTTTTTTTGCTTATGTTCTTGTTTATTGGCTTACACAAACAGTGTTAAGTTTTTATTAGCTTCAATTAATGGATTATAAGAGTACCTGAAAGCTTCATGCAATCCCAAACCAAAAAAACATATAATGGATGCACAAAAAATAGAATGACAAAACTAAATCTTATCATCAGAGAAAATCACCTTCACTAAAAGAAAGACAGGAAAGAAAGAAAGAAGGAAAAGAAGGACACAAAACACCCAGAAAGCAAATTTAAATATGGCAAAAGCAAGTACTTATCAATAATACCATTGAATGTAAATGGGCTAAACTCTCCAATAAAAAGACGTAGAGTTGCTGAATGGATGAAAAAACAAGACCCAGTCATCTATTGTCTATAAGAAACACACTTCACATGTATATACACACATAGACTGAAAATAAAGGGATGGAAAAAAAAATTCCCTGCCATTGGAAACCAAAAAAGAGCAGGAGTTGCTATACTTACATCAGACAAAATAGATTTCAAGACAAAAAACCATAAGAAGAGAAAAATAAGGTTACTATATAATGAGAAAGGGGTCAATTTAACAAGAGGGTATAACAATTTTAAATATTTATGCTTCCAATAAAGAGAAATACATATATAAAGATATACAAAGGAATATATTATTAGAGCTAAAGAGAGAGAGGCCCAAATCAGTAAATAGCTGGAGCCTTTAACAGCCCATTTTCCACATTGGACGGATCTTCTAAACAGAAAATATCTATAGATTGAATGTATCTAATAGATATGTACAGAATATTTCATCCACCTTCAGAATACACATTCTTTTCCTCAGGATATGAATTATTCTCAAGGATAGACAATGTGTTAGTTCACAGAATAAGTCTTAAAACATTTAAAAGAACTGAAATAATATCAAGCATCTTTTCTCACCACAATGGAATAAAAGTAGAAATCAGCAACAACAAGAATTTTGGAAACTATGCAAATAAATGAAAACTAAACAACATACTCCTGAATGACCAATGGATCAATGAAGAAATTAAGGAAATAATTAAAAATTTATTAAAACAAATAAGAATATAAACAACATACCAAAACCTATGGGATATAGCAAAAGCAGTATAAGTGCTTATAATAAAGAAAGAAAAACTTCAAATAAACAACCTCCTGATTCATCTTGAAGAACTAGAAAAACAAGAATGACTGAACTCAAAATTAGTAGAAGAAATAAAAATCTGAGCAGAAATAATAAAATTGAAATGAACACAATACAAAAGATTGATGAGACAAAATGTTTTTTTGAAAAGTTAAAATTGATAACTAAAAAAAACAAAATTGACAACTTTAGCCTTCTGAAAAAAAAAGAGTAGATCCAAATAATTCAGAAATGGAAAGGAGACATTACAACTAATACTGTAAAAATTAAAAGGATCCTTAGTGGCTACTATGAGCAATTGTTTGCCAATAAATGGGAAAATCTAGACAAAATGGACAAATTGAAAGATACATACAACCTACTAAGATTGAACCAGAAAGAAATCCAAAACCTATACAAACCAATAACAAGTAACATAATTGATATAGTTTGGCTCTGTGTCCCCACCCATATCTCATCTCCAACAGTGATTCCCACATGTCACAGAAGGAGTCTGGCAAGAGGTGATTGAATCATGGGGGCAGACTTACCCCTTGCTCTTCTCATAATAGTGAGTGAGTTCTTACAAGACCTGATTGTTTGAAAGTATGTAGCACTTCCTCCTTTGCTCTCTCTTTCTCTTTTCTTTTCTGCCATGGTAAGATGTGATTGCTTCCCCTTCACCTTCTGCCATGATTGTAAGTTTCCTGAGGCCTCCCAGTCATGTTTTCTGTTAAGCCTGCAGAACTGTGAGACAAACCTCTTGTCTTCATAGATTACTCATCTCAGGTAGTTCTTCATAATCGTGTGAAAATGGACTAATACAGTAATCAAAGCCATAACAAAGAATCTCACAGTAGATAAAATCAGAGATCTAATGGCTTCACTGCTGAATTCTACCATACATTTAAAAAGTTAATACCAATCCTACTCAAACTATTCCATAGAATGGAGGAGGAGGAAATACTAAGAAGCTTATTCTATGGAGTCAGTATTACCCTGATACCAACACCAGACAAAAACACATGAAAAACATAAAACTACAGCCCACTGTCTCTGATGAATATTTATGTAAAAATCTTCAAAAAATACTGGCAAACCAAATTCAGGAGTACATTAAAAAGATCATTCATCATGACCCAGTGGGATTTATCACAGAGATGCAAGGATGAATCAACATATGCAAATCTATCAATGTGATACATCATATCAACAAAATGAAGTACAAAAACCATATGATTATTTCAATAGATGCTGGAAAAACATTTGATAAAGTTCAGTATCACTTAATGATAAAAACTCTCAAAAAACTGTATAGAAGGAACATAAATCCACAGAATAAAAGCCATTATGACAGACTCACAACTATGGGAAAAACTGAAAGCCTTTTCTCAAATATTTGGGACACAACAAGAATGCCCAATGTCACCACGGTTATTCAGCATAGTACGGGAAGTCCTAGTTAGAGCAATCAGACAAGAGAAAGAAATAAAGGGCATTCAAATTGGAAGGGAAAAGGTTAAATTATACTTGTGTGTAGATGACATGATCTTATATTTGGTATAATATAACCCAAAGAATGCACCAAAGAATGATTAGAACTTGTGAACAAATTCACTAAAGTTGCAGAATACAAAATCATCATGCAAAAATTAGTAGCATTACAGTATGCCAAAAGTGAACAATCTAAAAAAAAAAATGTAATCCCATTTACAGTGGCCACAAATAAAATAAAACACCTAGGAATTAACCAGCTAACTGAAAGATCTCTATAATGAAAAACATAAAACACTGTTGAAACAAATTGAAGAGAACACCAAAACCAGAAAGATATTCCATGTTCATGGATTGGAAGAATCAATATGGTTAAAATGTTGATAATACCCAAAGCAATGTACAGATTCCATGCAATTCCTATGAAAATATCAATGACATTCTTCACAGAAATAGAAAAAAATTCTAATATTTATAAGGAACCACAAAAGACCGAAAATATTCAAAGCTATCCCAAACAAAAAGAAAAAAAACTGTAGGAATCATATTACTTGCCTTCAAATTATACTGCAGAGATATAGTAACCAACACAATGTGATACTGGCATAAAAAAACAGACAAATTAACCAATGGAATAGAATAGAGTCTCAGAAACAAATTCACATACCTACAGTGAACTCATTTTCAACAAATGTGCCAAGAACGTACATTGGGCAAAAGACAGTCTCTTCAATAAATGGTGCTGGGAAAAGTGAATACCATAAGCAGAATAACGAAATTCAACTTGTCTCTAACTATATACAAAGCTCAAATGAAAATAGATTACAGACTCAAAGACCCCAAACTATGAACGTACTATGAGACAACGTTGGGAAACATCTCCAGGACATTGGTCTGAGCAAACCTTTTTAATGATACCACATAAGCATGGGCAACCAAAGCAAATATGGACAAGCAGGATCGCATCAAGTTAAAAAGCTTCTGTACAGCAAAGGATACAATCAACAAAGTGAAAAGATGACCCATAGATTGGGATAAAATATTTGCAAACAACCCCTCTGACAAGGGATATATAACCAAAATATATAAAGAACTGCAACAACTCTTTAGGGAAAAAATGGGCAAAAGATTTGAATTGATGTTTCTCAAAAGAAGATATACAAATAGAAAACAGGTATATGAAAAGGTGCTCAACAGCATTGATCATTAGAGAAATGCAAAACAAAGCTACTATGAATTATCTCACCCCAGTTAAAATGGTTTTATTTTTCCTCCGAAAGACAGGTGATAACAACTGCTGGTGAGAATGAAAAGATCATACACTGTGGTGGGAATGTAAATTTGTACATCTACTATAGAGAACAGTTTGGAGAGTTCTCACATCTAAAAATAGAGCCACCATGTGATCCTGCAGTCCCACTGTTGGGTAAATATTCAAAGGAAAGGAAATCACTGTATCAATGAGATATCTGCAGTCTGACTGTAGTGCTCTTCACAACAGCCAAGATTTGAAAACAATCTTAGTGTCCATCAACAGATGAATGGATTCTAAAAAATGTGACACATGTACACAGTGAAGTACTATTCAGTCATAAAAAGAAATGAGCACTGTGCAGAAAGCAGAAACTGGACCCCTTCCTGACAACTTACACTAAAATTAACTCCACATGGATTAAAGAGTTAAACATAAGACCTACCACCATAAAAACCCTAGAAGAAAAGCTAGACAAAACCATTCAGGACATAGGCATAGGCAAGGACTTCATGACTAAAACACCAAAAGCAATGGCAACAAAAGCCAAAATAGACAAATGGGACCTAATTAAACTCCAGAGCTTCTGTACAGCAAAAGAAACGATCAGAGTGAACCAGTAACCAACAGAATGGGAAAATTTTTTGCAATCTACCCATCTGATAAAGGGCTAATATCCAGAATCTACAAAGAACTAAAACAGATTTACAAGAAAAAAACAAACCCATCCAAATGTGGGCAAAGGATATGAACAGACACTTTTCAAAAGAAGACATATATGAGACCAAAAATCATATGAAAAAATGCTCATCATCACTGATTATTAGAGAAATGCAAATCAAAACCACATTAAGATACCACCTCCTGCCAGTTAGAATGGCAATCATTAAAATGTCTGGAGACAACAGATGCTGGAGAGGATGTGGAGAAATAGGAACACTGTTACAGTGTTAGTGGGAGTGTAAACTAGTTCAACCATTGTGGAAGACAGTGTGATGATTCCTCAAGGACCTACAAATAGAAATTCCATTTGACCCAGCAATCTCATTACTGGGTATATACCCAAAGGATTATAAATCATTGTACTATAAAGACACATGCACATGAATGTTCATAGTGGCCCTCTTTACAATAGCAAAGACCTGGAACCAACCCAAATGCCCATCGATGATAAACTGAACAAGGAAAATGTGGCACATATACACCATGGAAGACCATGCAGCCATAAAAAACGATGAGTTCGTGTCCTTTGTAGGGACATGGATGAATCTGGAAACCATCATTCTCAGCAAACTGACACAAGAAGAGAAAATCAAACACCACATGTTCTCACTCATAGGCAGGTGTTGAACAATGAGAACACATGGACACAGGAAGGGGAGCCATCACACACTGGGGTCTGTTGTGGGGGACCAAGAGGGAGGGACAGCGGGGGACTGGGGAGGTCTGGGAGGGATAACATGGGGAGAAATGCCAGATGTAGGTGATGGGGGGTTGGAGGCAGCAAACCACATTGACAACTGTATACCTATGCAACAATCCTGCATGATCTGCACATGTACCCCAGAACTTAAAGTACAATTTAAAAAAAGAAAAAAAGAAATGAGATCCCGTCATTTGCAACAATATGAATGGTACTGGAGATCATTATGTCAAGAGAAACAAAACAGGCACTGAAAAACCAACATCACATGTTCTCACTTATGAGATATAAAAATCAAAACAATTGAATTCGTGGAGATAGATAGTGGAAGGATGGATACCAGAGGCTGGAAAGGGTAGAGTAGAAATGGTGGTGGGGAGTCAAGGGATGATTAATGAGTACAAAAAAGCAGATAGAAACAATGAGTAAAACCTGTTAGCACAACAGGGTTACTATAGTCAATAATAGTATAATTGCTGATTTAAAAATAACTAAAAGAGTATAATTGGATTGTTTGTTAAACAAAGGATAAATGCTTGAGGGGATAAATACCCCATTGTCCATGATGTGATTATTACACATTGCATACCTATATTAAAACATCTCGTGCACCCAATAAATATATGCCCGCTATGTACCCACAAAAATAAAAAATAAAATAAATAGGTTACACAAAGTTTGCAAGACACACTACAGTGCAAAATTATGAGAAGGATGTTTCTCCTCATTAAGAGGAGAAAATTGTTTTAAAACACTTTAGAAGAAATATTAATATGCTTCCTACCACTGCAAGTATTAGCTTATGTTGACAGGAAAATAAGTAAACTATTTATGAATTGGATATTTGTAAACTCCCAAAATGGTTTGACCAGAGACTTAGGATGTGTCCAGGCCTTGAACTGCACATTTGCCTTAACCCCTTTCCTGCTTTGGTCCAGAATTATGTGTTTCATAGCAAGTGGCTAGCAGTGACTTGCAAATTTGGCAGGGCAGTGCTTTGTAGAAGTCTTAAATAAAACAATTAGGGTTTCGTTTTTTCATATTCAATTTCACAGTAGCATACATTGGCTTACCCACACATTCTTAATTTAACTATTGCCTGGCATTTAATTGTTTTAAGTATGTGAATGTGTATGTTTATGTGTATATGTGTTCACGTATATGTGTGTCTAAAGTTCCCAAGACATCATTTACCACTTGGTGGCACGGTCCGCTTCTTAACCTACTGTCATTTACTCGCAATAGCTAAGAGAAATAGCAGTATTAGGAGCATGGATGCAAAAACCAAGCATTGATGCCCTCATTTGGAACCTAATTCCACTGTTTGCCAGATTGGGAAGGTTATTCACCTTGAGTTTTCCTGTTAGTTGTTGTGATGAGTAAATAATTTAAACTTCAGCATTGCCTGTCACAACTAGGGGGAGGTGTATGAGAAACTTTCCTCAGAAGCAAAATTTAAGGGGGCATCAAATAACAATCAAGATAAATAAAAATTGTATGCAATGTTTTATAAAATTTAAATATCAGTGGTATTTAATGTCTTGATTTGAGTCCACAGTTGAAGTCTCAGTATCCACATTTTCCTGGAGTCTAAAGACAAGAACCTTGATTCAGGCATTTACAGTCACTTAGCATAGCACACACATTCCTCTGCCCTATATTTAAAAAAAAAAAAAAAAAAAAAATTGGTACCTGCTAGAGTAAAAGATCATACCCAAAATCATTGAGTCAGTGGTTCCATGTAGACCCCAGGAAGATATAGAATCACTGGGGATGCTCAGACATATATGTTATTTATTTTGAATCACATTTAATATTAGTGCAGACAGATAAATCCTAGAGTTGCAGTGGGCTTGCCTTTTCCTATTTATAAGTGAAGTCATATATAATTTTACCCTAGCCATTATTTTAATTATTATTTCCCAAGACAGTGTTAAATCACAGGCAGTGACAACCAGAGGCATTTATCTCAGGACACAAATAGAAAATCCTGGATCATGGATTGGCAACAGCATAGGAGCAGGTTCTCTCATCAAGTTGTGACTTTAAAATGTGTAGTGTTAGAAAGATAAAAACGTTCCCAACCCACCTTTCCTCACTCCTCCCTAAGCCAGAATGTGTTTTCCCCTCTCCCTTCTTCAAGGAAAATTAAATGAAGACAGTTAACGAGCAGTTTTATTTTCTTTCAGCAAAGGTCAGCAATCCCACAGCAGCAAATTAATCCCAATTAGTAATGATATTTTGTCTTGATAAATGATGACACATTTGATTTACTGTGTTTCCAGGATGCAGGCAGCAAATGTTAATGATTTGGTTTGCTGGAAATTTATACTCTTGCTCATTTCCCATTTGCTGATCAGTTGCGGCTCGTGAAGACTTGGCTGCTTCAACTAATGAACTGAGGGCCTCGCAGGAATAATGGTGTGTTCTGCAGGCCTCATTTTTTTCTGCCATCTGTAGAAATGCAGGCTCCTCTCAGAAAATAACTCTGGCAGCCAGGAAAGAGCGATTATGATCATATCAATGTCACTTGTAATTTGTATTTCACTTGTTTAATGGCATCCCCAATAAATGAAGCTTTCTGTAGAGAACAAAACTAATTATAGCACATTCAGCATTGGGGTGTGTGTGTGTGTGTGATGAAGAGAATTCATGAATAGAAACATACCTAGACTTTCCTCATTTCCTTAAATTATTCTGATAGCGGTGATGCAGTTTATGTAATGATTTATCTGCCCAGCTGGTATGGTTTTAAATTAGACCAATGAGGATGTTTTCTTGAGATCTTTATAACTGAACACACCATCTTTTTTTTTTTTTTTTTTTTTTTTTGCATTAATTGCGGCATTAGTTCAATTGATTTTTTTCTTTTTACCCCAGGTTCCCACCTGGATCATTCAGTATTTGAGGATTGCCAGAGGCACTTTAGACTCCTCACAAAGGCTGCTAGAGCTGTCCCCTGAGGCTGTGCAAGTCAGACTGTTGGTGATTCTGGGACTAGCATACTTGTTTTCCAAGCATCACCAACAGGAATCCCTGGGGTACATTGACTCTTCCACCTCTGAAAGGCTGATGTGCCTTTCACACATCAGATATAGTCTTAGCTACAGAAAACTAATATGTTGGCTGCAATTCCAGGCAGGCTTGTCTCCTAGTTGTTTACATGACACAGTAAGAATGAAATATGAGGGATCATTACCCATTGTCATTTAAGAGCGAGAAGTGTTAGAAACCCCATTTAGAATCTCTTTCAGGGAAGTGGATGTTTTCCTCTCATTCTTAATCATTGTTCTTACTATCAACCAATATGAAACCAATAAACTTTACTCTTACTTCTTAAGGGGACGCTTGTTATTATGGCAAATTAATGGATCTATGTTATGTATCTTCCCTTCTCCTTTCCCTCCTGGGGCTACTGTTGTGCCTTTCTGTCCCTGATCCAACTGGTGGTTCACTCTGGGATAAACTTGGCATTCTCTGCTCTCTCTGAAATGCAAATAGTTGGTATATTTAACTTTTACTTCGTCAAATGCTATAGTTTGGACCGGTGCAGGGAAGGGTACCAGGTATCACGAGACGTCCTCGCCAGACAACTTGTCTATTACAGTAGTGTGCTGTACTCTTCAGCCAGACATAATTTTTTCCTCTCATATTTTTCCCACAGTGTTCAGTAGAATAGTAGTTCCCTGTATTAGCTCAGGACCTCAAATACCAAGATGGAATTAAATGTGTAAGAATTTTACAAGGAGAAAAGCCTGTGTAAGGAAAAAAAATAGAGCTCCAGAGGATGCCAGGAACACTCTAGGTTATCCTAATGCCAGTGTTTTAAAGTTTCTGTAACAGTGAACTTGATGCACAACTGACTTATATCCTCCAGTTTCATTAGTGTGCCTAAATTAAACATTTGTCTCCCCAGGGCACTTTTCATGCTTTCTAGGAGATAAGAATAGACAGGAAATGGAGAATTTGGTCCTCAACTTTAGGTTTGTAATAGAACTTTACATTTAACCAAAGCACTTTCATATACATTATTGCATTTGATTCTGATGATAAATATGAAGCCAGCATTAATTCTGTCAAAAATACATACTGATATGGTCCGACTCTGTGTCCCCACCCAAATCTCATCTTGAATAGTAATCTGAATTGTAATCTCCACGTGTTGGAGGATAGAACTTGTAGAAGGTGATTAGATCATGATAGTCGTTCTCCCATGCTGTACTCATGAGAGTGAAGGAGTTCTCATGAAATCTGATGGTTTTATAAGGGGCTTTTACCCACTTTGCTCTGGACTTATCTCTCCTGTCACCATGTGAAGAAGGATGTGTTTGCTTCCCCTTCTACCACGATTGTAACTTTCCTGATGCTTCCTCTGCCATGTGGAACTGTGAGTCAATTAAACTTCTTTTCTTTATAAATTACCCAATCTCAGGTATGTCCTTATAGTAGCATGAAGAGGGACAAATAAAAGCATCCCTGAATTAGCCCATAGGAAAACTTTCAAAATCCTATTGAGGGACATTTTACAAAAAAAAAAAAGAAAAAAAGGGCTAATACTCTTTAAAAATGTTACGAAGATGAAATACAAAGTCTAAGAAACTATTTAAGGATATTTAAACTATAAAGGATATTTAAGCTATCTGACGGCTAAATACAACACGCAGTCCTGGATTGGGCCTATAACATACCTTGCTACCCCCCTAAAGGCAAATTTCTCTAAAGGGCATTCTAGAATAATTGACAAATCTGAATAATTCCTCTTAGGATGAATAATATAGTTTCACAATATATTTCCTGATTTTTATAATTACTTGTGCATATGTAAGAGAACATTCTTTTAGTAATTACAAACTGAAGTATTTAGGGGTAGCAGGAGATTATGCCTGTAACCTACTCTCAAATGGTTTGGAAAAAAGTTACACTCACCCAAAGTATATTAAAGCAAGCATGATCATTTAAACAATTAATACTTGGGGAATATGGTTGAAAGGTGTATGTGGTAATCGACTATTTTTATAACATTTTATAAATCTTGAATTATTTTGAAATAAAAATTTTTAAAATAATACTGTAAAAGATTTGACAGCCTCCCTATTCAGTTTTGGGAATTAACAAATTTGGCTTGGAGGAATAAAAAATGTGCTTTGATTTGGATCACACAATAGATCAGACTCCAAGCTTCAACCAGACTTACCTCCAATCTCTATGATCTGCTCACAGACCACGCATATCATCCCTAGGTACATGGAAACAGCAAAATGACACAATGACTTGGCTCCAGAGTCTAAGCTCTATCTACCTAGTTTTACCATTGTGATGTCTGTCTGTATAGCACTCTCTTGCACATTAACATAGCTGATGACCCTCAGGGAGAGAAGCTTGTCCCTGTTTATGGCAAAATGCTTAAATCCTAGATTTCATTGCCATAACCATCCAAATTGTAGCCAGTTCACTCATCCATCTCTAACTGTAGATACATTTGCCTTTTTTCTCAAATCCTTAGGCTGGCAGATAAGTGCCATATTCGCCATGTCCTGGGTCCTGCTCTGACCATCTGCATCAATGCCAATACCCCTGATATTATTTAATTTCTGGAAATCAGTTTCTCTCTTCATATCCTGGTTCCAGCATGTCTTATGCCTAAACCTGCCTTTTCCTAAAGCCGCCTTTGTTTTCCTTCCAGCATGCTATGTTTTCCAGGACCTATTTACTCAAAAAATCCTTCTGGGGATTAAACTCTTGTTACTTAAATCCCTGTAACCAGAAACAGAATCATCTCCAGGATCTGCCTGGACATTCTGCTCCTACATCTGAGGGGTGTTCATCAATATCTCATTTTTTCAAACCCAGACATACCTTGTATGGTAGTCTCTCAAAGACTAAGTCTTCTTTATCATAGCCATCCCCTTGGTTCCACAAATAGCAATATACCTAGCTTTTCCTCATTTCCTTAAAATATTCTGAGAGCACTGATACAGTTTACATAATGATGTATCTGCGCAGCTGGTGTGATTTTGAATTATACCAATGAGGATGCTTTCTTGAGATCTGCATAGATTTCATTGCCATAACCATCCAGGTTCCAAGATGAGCATTAAGCATAGTCATTTTTAATGTGATGCTCTCATTGGAGGGCTGAACTTGGATCTGGTTCATTCTTCCCTTAAAGTCCAACTTTATTCCCACATATCCTTTAAGACCTTTTTTGGCCATCCCTATCCTTACAGAATTTCCCATTCAAATACCTCAGTAAAAGCACCACTGTTCTGCATGGTACAGGTTACCATGGGTGGTTATCATTCTTTTCCTGTGTAAAGCTTACTCTCCATTCTCTCAGCAGTAACACTGTTTAGAGGAGAGCTGGACTGAGGAGAAAACTGTGTTCCAAACTGGCTGTGTTATCTTGTGCAAGTCAGTTAATACCTCCAGACTTCCCATGTAATATCTGTGAGTAGATACAGAGAGAGTTGGATTAAAGAATTTCTGATGTTTCTGTTAGTGCCACTATTTGTGAAACTGTGGCCTATCCAGTGTCAAGTAGCAATCATCCTCTAAGTGTTTGATAATGAAATTCTGACCTCACAAGGGGCTTATAGTTATCAGAGGGTCAGGTAATGGAGTGTCTTCCTTGGAGGCATTATCGAGCCCTCCTTGAGCCCCGTTCTATCCCCAGAGGATATGACTTGGAAACAGGAAAGCTTATGCATTTTTAATCAAAGGCAACAGGATCAGTACCTCCAAACAGCCAAATGACAATCTGATTGCATTTCTACTCCTGAGCTATGATGAGTATGTTCTGACAGCGCAGTTCACACATGGAAAGTGCAGGCTCGTTAATAGCACTGGCTTTAAGGGATTTGGATCAGGGTAGCTGTGCTGGCAGTGTTCCTGGGACACAGCAGAGAATGAGAAGGTGGAGTGTTGTGTTCGATTTTTATCTCTACTCAAAATGCTCTTAGTCCTTGTTACCCATAATGTTCTCCCAGAGAGACCATCAGCATTGCTATCAGCCTGTTAGAATCTTGGGCCTCACTCCAGACCTATATAGTAAAAATCCACCTTACACCAAAATCCCCAAGTGGTTCATGGGTACATTACATTTGGAGACAAACTGCTCAGCTGGACAGGTGAGGATCCTTGTCTTGGGCCTAAAATACAATTTTGGAAAGCATCTTTAAGAATGACAAATATTATATGTATATATAAGTTTGGATATTGTTTTGTGTGTACACATAACACTGCATATAAAATTTGTCATTATTCTTCAATATCCTTAAATACTATTCATAAATATGTGTATGTATAATTAGATATAGTAGTCTAAACCAAGTTTTCATACTCTTACCAGCTTTTAGTGCTTAAAACAGATCCTGACCTTCCCCTCTTCTGTTCTCTGTTTCATCCTTGCAGAATCCTGCTAGAACAAGAAGTACTATCAAAGGACTTTGTGTTTCACAGTAAATATCTTTCTCCTTTTAGATGAAACACTAATTGCTAATACTTAAGGAGTGCTTACTAGTATCAGCGGCTATTTTAAGAATGGGCTATGGATATTTTATTTACTCCTCATAGCAGCCTTAAGACTTGTCTCTTGACCTCTTATCTTAGAGATAAGATTAAATAATTTTAAGTATCAGAAAATAGATTAGAGCACAAGGGATCTTATTCTATGGCCCATGTTGTTCAAGATTTGGGCCATAATCCCTCTTATGATAAAATAAAGATTTCGAAGGCATCTCCAGTAACTCAATCAAAAAGCAAAATTGAGATACTGTGATGCTCTAATAAAATTAGTATTTGGGGAGTGGACAAGAGAAATGTCTGGTTTTTGGCCTCTCCTATTTAATCTTGTGTAGCAGCCCTATAATCCACCAGTCCATCTCAGGTTCTGACAGTGGCTCTTTCATTAAGAATTTTTACTCATAACTTGGTACCTGAGGTAGCACTAACTACAAGGCTCAAAGATGGGTAGGGGAAGCTTTCCAAGAGCCAAAGCCAAAATAGAAGTTTCTCCATCTACATCGCTATTCGGAAAGAGTTGAGCTCATTTTTATAAACTTTTCAAAAGTACTCTCAACCACCAACAAAAAAGTAAATTAAATGTATGCATCAAGAGCTAAAATGTACTTTTAAATTTTTTGGTTAAAAAGGAAATACTCGCCGGGCGCGGTGGCTCAAGCCTGTAATCCCAGCACTGTGGGAGGCCGAGGCGGGTGGATCACGAGGTCAAGAGATCGAGACCATCCTGGTCAACATGGTGAAACCCCGTCTCTACTAAAAATACAAAAGATTAGCTGGGCATGGTGGCGCGTGCCTGTAATCCCAGCGACTCAGGAGGCTGAGGCAGGAGAATTGCCTGCACCCGGGAGGCGGAGGTTGCGGTGAGCCGAGATCGCGCCATTGCACTCCAGCCTGGGTAGCAAGAGGGAAACTCCGTCTCAAAAAAAAAAAAAAAAAAAAAAGGAAATACTCTTTTAGTATGTTCACCATTTCCTATTGCCATTCTCCTGTCTTTCTTCCTTTCACATTTTTAGGACTACAGCCTAGCCAGCAGGATGTACAATTTTATGTAGATATGAATCTTCTGTATCATCAAGTCAGTGATGAACATATACATGTCAAAACCAATATTGCTGTGATGCACTGGTTGAGAGATTGACCCAGCACAGTGACTTCTCCATATGGGCACATTAGCACTGGCTTTTGGGGACGTAGTAGGAGACTCTCTACTTCCCTGATTATTCATATTGAGAATATTTGTGCTATTCTTCAAGTTAGCAATGTAAAAAGAAACAGACAGTTTTACTTAAACTGTATTTTGATATCATTTGTGTAATTTGTAAACAAGTTTATGAAGAGTAGGAAAGTAAATATCAATGGAAAATAAAAGTGGTCTACCATTTTGAGTTTAAAGCACTAAAGTATTAAATCTATCTAAATTGTGTGCATAGGTAGCTAGAGGGAACAGGGAAGGGAAGTTGCCAAGAGAATGAATATATCTGCATGGAAATTAAAGCCCAAAAACATGTGCATAAAAAGTGCAGCTAGATAAGCAAAGGTTGTCTGAAAATGCAATTTCTAAATATAGCCTTAATCATATTGACACAAAAAAGAAGTGACATAAAAACTGATGAAATCAAAATAAGGCAATTTATGCCATGAAGAAACTTGAGCTATAATGATTTCTGAAACAGATGTTATAAAGAAAAAAAATATGTAACTTTGCGAGCTGCACTGTTATATTTAAGAAAAATGAAAATTAAGAGGCCTATGGCAGTTTGCAAAAAATCAAGAACAAAGAGGTTAGCAAAGTAATTCTATTATATCTTACTGCTAGACTTTTTGGGAGGCAAGTGTAGTTGAATGATAATGGGGATGGTTTCCAATGCTACCATATCCCATTGGTAGAAGGATATTATGGGCTTTTGGGGTAAGGACTC